GGAGGAGGAAGAGGATGAGGATGATGATGATGATCAGCAGGAGGAGGAGGAGGAGGACCAGTGTAAACCCAAGACTCATCAGCGATGTTGGAATGAGCCCTTCCTCCAAGCTCCCTCTTCATAGGCCCCTACAAGGGCTTAGTTGAATTGAGGGAAGTGCCCCGTTGGGAGACAACCGTTTGCAGATCCTGAAGCGTGCCAATGCACAGTTCTCGGGACTCCAACGCCACGAATCAACCTGACTGTTGCGTTTCGCCGATCCTGAATCGTGCACGAACATCATTCCTGGGACTCCACCTTCGCGAGCCAACGCAACTGTTGCGCCCCAACAATCCTGAATCCTACCAACACACAATTTCTGGTATGGTGACCATGAGCATCCATGGAACTCTTCCAGTACTTCATTAAGAATGTGCGCGGCGCTTAGGCGAGATCCACATTTTGAACAGGAGCCGTCCTCATTCCGTGAAGCTCTCGCAATTGTTTAAGATGAGTGTTCGCGGCGCTGAGGCGAGAGCAACACTTGGAAAACCACCGCCCTCGGCTGCGCTATAGCGAGGGCCACTTTTGAAAGCCACCTGCCTGCTCTCAGTCCGTGAAGCTCTTGAAATTCTTGTTAAACGAATGTGCGCGGCGCTAAGTCGAGAGCCACATTTTGAAAGCCACCCGCCCTCCATCTGTGAAGCTGTTGCCAAATTCTAAGCTTCAGGTTCATAAGTGGTAAGGAAGTCTCAGGCGAAACGCCCGGCCCGCCCTTTCGACTGGCTTCGGGGTGCGACAGAGGAGCTATTTATAAGGGAACGGAATGGAGGAGGAGCAGGATAGGAGGAGATGGAGAAGCAGGAGCGTGTTTCTTTATCCTTTGGGGCATACTGGGCATTATTGCCCCCGCCCCCCCCCTCCCTATAACGTAACGCCCCTCCCCCCCAATGCGCTCCGGGCACTACCGCCGTGCGCATCGGGATCCGCATCTTCGTCCGCATAGGAATACGCATCGGAGCCTGGCCCGCGTTGGACATCTCATGGGGATCCGCATAGGTATGCGCATGCGCATCTGCATAGGGATCCGCACGCCGTGTAAGGAGCCGCACAGGGATTCGCATAGGGATTCGCATGGCACTGCGCATGGATATTTGCATGGGCATCCGCATCGGGATCCGCATCGGGATTCGCATAAGCATCCGCATAGGGATCCGCGCATGGATCCGCATAGGGATCCGCCTTGGGATCCGCATAGGGATTGGCATAGGGACCCGCACTGGGATCCGCATAGGGATCTGACATTGTGGTTTTGCGTTCCCGGTGAAAACTCTTTCTCTTCCGTCTGCTCCTCTTTCTCCTCCTCTTTCTCCTCCTTCTCCTCCTTCTCCCCCTTCTCCTTCTCCTTTTTTTTGGGAGGAGGAGGAGGTGGAGGTGGCGGAGGAGGGAGGAGAGAAGAACGTCGCATTATATTATCAGCACTTCCCTGGCGTGGCGTTAGTTGTCTGCAGCAGATCCTCACCTACATGCTCGTTCTACCTGTCCTGTGCACGCAGGCACTGTGGTGTACACCAGCGCTGTGTGCACGCGGATGCTGTGGTGTACACAGGCGCTGTGGTGTGCACAGGCGCTGCGGTGCACGCAAGCATTGTGGTGTACCCAGGCGCTGTGCTGCACATGGTTGCTGCGGTGTTACACATTCGCTGTTGTGTACACCGGCGCTGTAGCGCACGCAAGCACTGTGGTGTACACAGGCGCTGCGTCAGTATACGCAGGCGCTTCGGTGTACACGCGCGCTGTGGTACACGCGAGCATGGTGGTGTACACAGGCGCTGTGGGGCAGGTCGCCACCTGCATGCCATGCTGCTCGCGTTGTCGTCGTCGTCGTCGCTCGTCGCTCGTCGCTCATCGTCATCGTGCGCGCGTGCGCGGCTGTGGCGCCAGAGCCACACGGCGGGGGGGGGGGGGCGCGTTACATTATACCCCCCCCGGCCCCCCCCCCCCTCCCCCCCCTATAATGACCATCATCGCCAAAAATAAAGAAACGCTCTCCAGGATGATGATGATGCTGATGATGATGAGGATGCGGATGATGATGATGATGATGATGATGATGATGATGATGATGATGATGATGATGATGATGATGATGATGAAGTTGATGAGTGACGAGGAGGAGGATAATCAGAGGATGATGAGGAAGATGGGGGAGAGGAGGATGGGGAGGAGGGGAAAATGTCAAGAGTAAGGACCAGCGAGAGCCTCGAACAGAGAACCGTGTACTTCCGTATGTGCCCTGTCAGCGAAGTGGGGAGTGAGCACTCAGCAGGGAAAACCAGCACGACCACAAATAGTCGTCGATTTTCATTTCCCATATACGCCTGAGGGTGGAACCTTGTCGGATGGTTTCCTGTAAGCTGTGACCCTGCTGCTAGGTGCGAGCGTGTTGGGTGGGACCGTCTCGCGGGGAAGCCAAGAGGGCACCTTGACGCCGCGCACCGCCAGGAACATTTAGAGAAGTCCAGGTGCCCCAAGCAAATTCGTCGGAGAGAAAAGTAATATCATCTCGGTGCATGCGTTGCTAAGGAGAATGCTGATCACGGTGATGGGTCTCGCCACTGCTATTGTTCGTGGCATGCTTGCATGGCAGAGCCTCCCGTGGATGCGGTTGTGTGATGCAACTTCGGATGGTGCTCGCATCGTTCGCTGTGTTTTGCTTCAAGCGCCTCAGGTCTATTCTCCTCCTGGTTTTATTGGCCACGCAGATGGGGCTGCAGGCCTCCAGCTTAGGAACAAAAGTTTTCGACCATCGTGTAAGCTTGGTACGCATTGATGACGAACGTGGTGCACGCTCCTATTATGTCTGAGAGGTTCAGTGGGTGGGCGTCGCGCAGGCAGCGTTGGGCCAGCTCAACGGGAGCATCTTTGCCGGAGCCAAGCTCACTGTCAAGGCCACCGTGTTCGTACGGGGGGATGCAACGCAAGCGCACGACTTTCCAGTTTTGCTTGACCCTGTGATCGCGATTTCGCATCAGCTTGGAACCACGCAAGACTCAAAGCCTAGATTGTATGCCGAGCTAGCTGCATTTGTTGTTGTTGCCTTTTTTTTGTGTTTCTGTTTTTGTTTTTCTCTCTTTCTCTCTCTATTCCCTCCCATCTCTCTCTCTCTCTCTCTCTTTCTGTCGTGTGGACCAAGCCTGGTAAAAGCTTTTGCTAAGACCTGCGCTGTATGTCATGTCGCACGTCTTTCAAGCTGCAGGAGACGATGAGGATCCGCGGGATGACACATACGAATCTCTTGAAGAGCGTCGGAGTCTGGTCGTTGTTGATTCAACTCGCATTGGCGCTTCAGTCCGATCATGTTCGTCTCGTCTGGATTTCACGATGGCTTCGTCCAGTTTCATCGAGTGCTGACCGAGGCTGGAGCAGTGGTCAGGCCTGGTAAGGTCCTGTGTGAAGCTGGGTCCCTGATCTGACCCTACGGCTCGCAGAGTCCCGAAGGCCAGGCAGCCAAAGGGAGCAGCAGCAGCCCCAAGGACGTGCTGTAATGTAAGGAAGACTGGCCTGGGGGTGGCGTGTGCGCTCTCCGAGTCCCATTGGCACAACCGCGGAGGGGTTCGGGGGGCAGCTCACCGACGGTGGCCCCCCTCACCAGGGCTGGACCTAAACGCTGTTTTGCTGGATTTCGGCTGTGTTTTGTTTTTCGTTTTGGCAGGGAGGTACAGGAAAGCAGGTGGAGCAAAACGAAAACATGACGAACACGTGACGAAAAACAGCGTTTAGGTCCAGCCCTGCCCCTCACCGACGAACAGTGTGGGGATGTGTGCGGCATGCGCTATGAGGACTGGTCGGTCAGAGGGCAACCGCCGGGGCGGGCCAGAGCCAATGGAGCACCCAAAGGAATGGGAAATCAGGAGGGCGGCCGCGGAGGAGGCTCCCAAGAGGTCTCCGCCTCCTCCTCCTCCTCCTTCTCCTCCTCCTCCTCCTTCTCATCCTCCTCCTCCCCGATGTGCTATGAGGGTTGATCGGTCAGAGGCATCACAAAGGTGGCCCAACCACAGATCCCCAAGTCGACCCTCGGGGGCGCGAAGATAATTTCGCTCCGCGCCTCGCGGCTCGGGTTGGAGAGGCGCCCTTCCCCACGGGTCGGCGACGCGAGGGCGCGAAAGTAATTAGCCGTGCGCCGCGCACCGCGGGGCGCAATGCGCGAGGTTAGGTAACTCGGGGTCCGAACAGCTCGACCCACCGGAGGAGCAGCCAGCGTTCGCGGATCGCTTGTCATTCCTTACCAAGCCACCCCAACTCCACCCGAAGGTCCCAGACCCTCCCAAATTTCGAGTTGGGGGTTTGTGCGGTTTCCCCCGTATTTCGTCAATGTTCTGGAGTGCCCCCCCGCCAGAAATTGACGATCCCGACGGTGGCTTCGGGTTAGGCTGGGGTGGTTCGGTAGGTAGTCAGCTTGGTGGGCCAGAGTGGTCGTGGGGAGCCGGCACCTCTCTCCGAGCCCTCGGCCCACCGATCCATCGTTCCAGCCTCGCTGGTTGCCCGCCGGCTCCTCTTCTGAATCTCGTCCTCTCTCGTCATGTCCTTGTCCTCGTGGGCCCCCCTCCAGGCGGCGTTTTCGTCCACTCCTCGGCCCCTCCCTCCAGTTTCAGCGGTCGGACATCCCTCGTCGGCCTGCCTCTTGCTGTCGATCTGTTTGGCCCTTCCGCTCTAACGATTTCGACAGCTTCTCAAGGAGCCCACCTTCCCTGGGCCTACCCAATCACTTTTGATCTAGCAGGGCTTTCAGCCGCCACGTTTGCACCCCGCCCAGGCGGACGCGACCTCGAAAGATGGCACCAAGTGTTTCATCTACGGGCTTCCCTTTGGCACGCAGTGGCAGGAGCTGAAGGACTCTCGGCGATCCATGTTGGTGGGCGAACTGTATGAAACATGCCGTTCGATACTTCCTGTCCGTCTCTCTCATGCCATCATTCATAACTCTTAGATTTGCTCTTGCCTCTATCATTGCCCCCTGC